AAGCGAGCAGTGATGTAACGAGTTTTGGACGCACAGATTCCCAAGAGGGAGCAGTGCCATGGACAATTTTCTGAAGCGCTTTTTCCGTCCGCGTGCCGTCCTAGGGGACGGAAAGAGCGAGGTATGAGTGATGACGTTCATCGGCGGCGAGCGAGGGCGGGAAGCGAGAAGGAGAAGGCCTTCTCAGAAGGCCGCGGGGCTTCTCAGAAGCCCTCGCGCTTTCTGAGAAGTTGTCCGTGTCTTCGGGGAAGGCTCGGAGAGCTTCTCAGAGCAGGCCAGCCCCTTCTCACTTCCCCCCTAGGGGCCCAGGGGAGGGGCGAGGGCTGGGGAGATTTGTATACCCCCCACCCCATCTCCGCAAAGAGGCCCCGAGAGGGCTCCAGAAGCGTCCTGGACGGCCCAAGAGGCGCCCAAGACGGCCAAGAGGGCTCAAAGATTGCCCAAGAGTGCTCCCGGAGAGCCGAATACCGCCCCAGAGCGTTCGAAGATGCCCTAAGATGGCCTCGATACGTTCCAGGAAGGCCTCAAGACGGCCCAGGAGACCCTCAAGAGGAGCCCCGAGAGGGCCCCATCAGGCCAGCAACATTGATCTTTCAAAGCTTTTTAAGATTTGCAGTGTCATCCCCTCTTCGGGCCGGGAACGGCCCAAGAAGCCCCAAAGATCGTTCGAAGACGGCCCCAGAGGCCCCCAAAAGATGAAAGAGGGCCCCAAAGACGGTCCAGCATTCAGAGAGCCCCCCGAGGGCCCCAGGAGGCTCCCAAGAGGGCGCCAAGAGGCACCGAAGAGAGCCCCAAGACGGCCAAAGACCTCCAAGACGCTGCAAGACGGCCAAACAGGGCCCTAAGACGGGCCAAAAGGGCCCCAAGACGGTCCAAATTGGCTTCAAAAGGGCTCCAGAGATAGCCCATAGACGCCAAATAGAAGAGCGATCAGTAACAAAAAAAGATCGGTAACGTAAACAGCTCTGAACACCCAAGGCTCCCAAGAGCGAGTGGTGCCAGGAGCCATCTCGGGCAAGTTTCTGGAGTGCTCTTTCCGTTCCAGTGCCGGCCCAGGTGTTCTAACACGCCTCAATGTGCCAGGAGGCACGGTGGCGGATAGCGAAGCCGTGTTAAGCAATGTGAAGCAATGCCGAACAAGCAGTGCAGTTCAAACCTCACCTATGCAAGCCGATGCGATGCACCTGAACGCGACACATGCACACGAACATGGAAGTAACACAGGGCAATGCAAATCCAAGGAACGAAAGGAGGTGGAGCGCAATGCAAATGAGTTCAGATCACCATAGCAATGCAAAGTAAGGTAAGCCAGCACATAGTGCAGCGTAAGGGGAACCAGCACAGGGCAACGCACAGCGGAGCGGCGCAAATCATTGCGGCTCGGCGCGGGGAGTCTCGGAGGAGGTCCGAGGCACCACGGGTCGACCCCGAGAGCCCTTCCGTGCAGTCCACCAGGCAGCGGCAACTACGCGTCTCGATGTCTTCCATAATCATTGCCTTCTCGTGCTTTCGATTCCCCAAGGGTCGAAACCGAACATGCACGTCTGGATGATCTTAATAATCTATACGCCCTCGTGCCTTACAGCTTCCAGCATGAAAAGGGATCCTGCTGGGAGGCCAGCAGTCGCGATCGGGCCACAACTCTTCCGGCAGGATCCCAGGCGGGGAAAGGCCCGACACGGCGACCCTGGCGGCCCGACGCAGACACACAGACACACAGACACACACACACACAGACACACACACACACACAGACACGCAGGCACACAGACACGCAGGCACACAGACACACACACACACACCAGCATCGGAAGCTCGCCTTTATACATTGGGAGATGCAGAGTGACAACACCTGCCTGCGCACGTGTCTTTGAGAGGGACCTGCATCGGAGATCCCCGCAAGACGCTGCCTTCCGGAGAAGCCTTCTTGACAAGGCTCCGGCCCTCTCCGAGATACCCGCGCCTCCTCGGAGGGCCGCCCCTCCTCGCCAAGCCCGGGCTGCGAGCCGCCAGCCAGCCCCAGAGCTCCGTGGAGGTCTCCAGATCTCAGAAGGGAAAGAAACACACAGACACAATTCATCGGCGATTCCCCAGAAAATATTGGAAAATATGGGAAGTGGGGGGGAAGACAAAAAACCCGAAACTATAGGAACACATGGGGAATTTGTTTATTTGTGTGTATTTATTTGTGTGTCCCAGGGCCCCTTCAAGATCTCTCCCAAGGCCAAGGTCCCTGGATGCACGTCCCAAGTCATCTCAGGGGATGAGTCTGCTGCTTCTTCCCATCGCTGCGCCAGGGGAGGAGGATGTTCGGGTGACGGTCTCCAGGTGGCAGTCGTTGGCCAGGGGGGGGAGATATGCATGTGCAGCATTTGGGTGGCTGTTTTGGGCCAGGGGGTGAGGATATCCAGGTGGCAGTTTGTGTGAGGATATCTGGCTGGCATCTGACACACCAGCCGCTGCGCAGCGCGGCGGCGGATCTCTGCAGCAAGATGACCGGGCCGACGTACGACATCGTCTTCCGCCATTGCGACACGGACGGCAGCGGCTGCGTCGACTTCATCGAATTCCTCGGGCTCCTCGGCCTCGCGCGGGACAAGGACCCCCCCTGGCCCCCCTCCGAGGAGGGGCCTGAGGAGGGGGGAGGAGGAACAGAAGGGAGGAAGAGGGGGCACTCCATCCACTCTCGCAGTGCTGGGAAGGGCGCCCGCCGGATGTGCGCGGCACCTGACCCGCTCTCGCAGTGCCCATTTTTTCTTCTCCTCCTCCTCCTCCTCCTCCTCCTCCTTCTCCTCCTCCTCCTCCTCCTCCTCCTCCTCCTCCTCCTCCTCCTCCTCCTCCTCCTCCTCCTCCTCTTGGTAATGCAGTGCCTCGCTGCGGCCTTGGAGCTTCGATGACGACGTCGGGAAGGAGGAGCAGGGCGGAGGATGGATGGTCGAGTTGTGTACGCGCTCTTCGGGCCCCCAGGGGCCTCTGGAGACATTCTGGGGAGTTCGGGAGGGTGGAAAGGGAGGACGCGAGAGCCGCCCAGCGCCGAGAGGCACTGCAGGCGTCCAGTCCCGCCGCACTCCCTATCCATCTATAGATCTCGCTCCTCGTCCAGTCCTGCGTTGAGCTCGGCAAGCCGTCTTGGCTACTCGTCCTCGGCTCGGGGCTTTTGTCGCTGTCGCGAGCGGAAAAGCGGGGAATCGGGAAGGGGGGGGGTACGAAATCTGCTGCATGCAATCGTTTCTGGCGCCACTGGCGGGCGCTCCCGCGGTATTCATGGGCCGCTTCTGGCACCGGGAGGCGCTGGGAAGACCAGGTCAAGTTGCCAGCTTGCTCGCTCACCGCCCTCATTGCTACCCGCATCTTCCGTCCGACCCGAGGTGCCAAGGGGGAGACACCGCTCTTCCTCTGCGCACGTGGCACGAGCTCGAGGAATCGCAAACATGAGCAAACGCGCGCGGATGAGCGGCGAGTCCCGTTTCCGTGCCGAACGGGCGCGCTCCGTCGCCAAATCGGGCGGCATGTTGGCGCCGCGATCTGAGGTGCCACTCTCCCGGATCCGTGGAGCTGGCGCCCGCATTGGGCGTCGCGCAATGGGGGGGCGATTAATGGTGTGGGGGGGGGGGGGATGGGGGAGGAGGAGGAGGGAGGAGGAGGAGGAGAGGGAGGAGGAGGAGGAGGAGGAGGGATGAGAGGGGCGGCGAGGGGATGGGGCTCGAGGGCTGCTCCAGAAAAGGTGCCCTTCGGGGGCCCCAGGGGGGGGGGGGGCTTCGGGGCCCGAGGAGTGCGCCGGCCGCTGGCCTCCCCGCCCCCCCCCTTGCCGCCCTCCCGGGAAGCGACGCGCAGCCCACGCAGCAGGGCCACGGATCCGCAATCCATGCTAGCTTGCGCCCGACTCTCAGGAGGAAGAGGAGGCGGTGGAGGAGGAGGCGGAGTAGGAGGCGAAGGAGGAGGAGAAGGAGGAGGAGGAGGAGGAGACGGTTCGATTCGGTCCTCCTCGAAAGCGCGAATCATGCTCACAACTGTTGGGCGGGTGCCACCTCCATGGAAGCGACAGCCAGGAGGAGGAGGAGGAGGAGGAGGAGGAGGAGGAGGAGGAGGAGGAGGAGGGGCAGGAGGAGGAGGCGGAGGCGGAGGCGGAGGCGGAGGAGGAGGAAGGCGGAGGAGAGGCGGAGGAGGCGGGAGGAGGCGGAGGGCGGAGGAGGCGGAGGAGGCGGAGGAGGAGTCCGCCGCCCAGCTCCGTCGGGGCCGACCTCGGCGGCGACGGCGTCGAAGGAGGGGGACCGGCTGCCTCTCCTCGCCTGGGGCCCGTGCCGCAGGAAGGGCTGACCTGGCCGCTCCTCCGTCCGTCCGTCTCGCTCCCTCTCTCTTTTTCCCTCTCTTTCTCTACCCCTCTTTGTTGTTTTCTCTCCCTCCTCCTCCTCCTCCTCCTCCTCCTCCTCCTCCTCCTCCTCCTCCTCCTCCTCCTCCTCCTCCTCCTCCTCCTCCCTCTCCTCCTCCTCCTCCTCCTCCTCCTCCTCCTCCTCCTCCTCCTCCTCCTCCTCCTCCTCCTCCTCCTCCTCCCTTTCATCCTCTCCTCCATCTCCTCCTCCGCCTCCTCCCTCCTTCCTTCTCTCCTCCTCCTCCTCCTCCTCCTCCTCCTCCTCCTCCTCCTCTCCCCCTCTTTGTTTGCTATCTCTATTTCCTTGCTCTCTCCCCCTCCTTGTTTGCTTTCTCCTCCTCCTCCTCCTCCTCCTCCTCCCTTTCCTCCGTCTCCTCCTCCTCCTCCTCCCTTTCCTCCTCCTCCTCCTCCTCCTCCTCCTCTCCCCCTCTTTGTTTGCTATCTCTATTTCCTTGCTCTCTCCCCCTCCTTGTTTGTTTTCTCTCCCCATCTCTCTCTCTCTCTCAGTCATGTTTTTGTTTGTTCTCTCTCTCTCTCTCTCCCCCTGGAGGGGGAGGAGTAGAAGGTCGGAGAAGGAGGACGTGCAGGATTTGTTTTGCTGAAGGCTGCTGCTGCTGTGGCAAGCTTCCAGAGAGATTGGCACGCAGGAAGCTGTGAATCCACAAAGAGCTAGGGAAGCACGGAGCCCAGCCATCACCGAGACGAGCGGACGTGCAGGAGATAGAGAGGGGGGGTGGAGAGAGAAGAGGAGGCCGGCTGACGTTCCTCAAAGCGGGTGTGTGGCGAAGCGTCCCGGCTTGCCTATAGGCCCACCAAAGATTGTTCTAAGAACCTTCCGTGGTTTGCACGAGATGTTCTTAGAACATGTCTGGCTGGGACTGTCTTGGTTTAACACATCGGGTTAATGTTCTAAGTATGTTGTTTTGGTTCTTCGAACATTTTGGCTTCTAAGAACATGTCGTGGTAGGACTATAGGAATGCCGGGACGGTCGGTCCCTGCTCAAGTGTGGAAGGTGGGCTTCTTCTCCAACAACCGGGCCATCGCCCGTGTCACAGACCTGCGGCAGACGGAGGTCGAGCGGATCCTCGGCTTCTTCGGGCGGCTGGGCGGGGGGTCGGAGGACGAGGAGGAGGCCCGCCCTCCCTGCCGCGCCCTTCCTGCCGGGAGGAGGACGGTCGGAGGATGGCAGAACCCCAATCCTTCTAGGCTTAAGTCGGGCGTGTTCCCCTACGGGAGGGATTTTCGACGAAAAATATGTAATACAATATTCTAATTTTTAAGATTATGAAGCAGTCCCATGCTATTTGTTTTGACTACTTTTGAATATTCCCCCTGTGGAGGGACAGGCCCGACTTAACGGGAGGAGGACGATCGGAGGATGACAGAGCCCCAATCATGCTATGCCGACAATCCGAGGCGGGAGTTTATACATGGCCACCGCCTGGAGGATCCGTTTGCGGGGGCCTCGGCAGCCGGTGGATATGGACATGATATTCGGGCCCCTGGGGCCCCCCAAAACTGATCCATATCCACCGCCCGCTGGGGCACCGGGGGCGTCGGTTCCCAAGCGGTGGATCTGGATAAATTCTGGCCGGACGACAGTGGGGGGGTACGAAATCTGCTGTATGTAGCTGGTTTCGGCCCCACCAAGGGGCCCATTCCTCGATACGTGGCCGCCTCCAGCGCCGGGAGGCGCCGGGAAAATCAGCCACATTCTGAAACCCCCCTTTTGCAATCCCTCCCTTTCGCCCGGCCCGAATGACTCCCCGCCTCGCACACAAGCGAATCTGCGGGACGGGAAAATGACCACAGCCACTGCCTCTCGTTTGCGCCGCCCTCCAGCCGGCCGAAAAAGAGGCAGTGGCTGTGGTCATTTCCCTGGTGCCGAGCTCAACGAACATGACCACAACCGCTGCCTCGTTTCTGCTGGCTGGAAGGCGGCAGCAAAAGAAAAGCAGTGGCTGTGGTCGCTTTCGCGCCCCGTAGAGTCACAGTGGCTCGCCTCTTGAGGGGCTGCTGCGGCTGCCGGTCGTGCCGGCCTGCGCCCGCCGGGTCTGGCCCCGGGGCCGTGTTCGCCACGGGGCGCGCCGCCACCAAGGGGTTGTGGAGGACGATCCATGGAGAGGAGGCATGCTTCCAAATATTTTCCAGATGCCTCCTCCCTCCTCCCTCCTCCTCCTCCCTCCTCCTCCCTCCTCCTCCCTCCTCCTCCCTCTCTCTCCTTCCTCCTCCTCCTCCTCCTCCTCCTCCTCCTCCTCCTCCTCCTCCTCCTCCTCCTCCTCCTCCTCCTCCTCCTCCTAAACTCTGCACGCACGAGACGGGCACGGAAGGAATGGGTACAATGCCCAACAGCAGCTCCTGTTCATCTCGAACAGGACTCGCTGTCCGCGCCGCCGCGGCCTGGGTCCATTTGAGGCAGAAGGCCGCCTGCCCAACAGCGGCCGCTGATGGTTTGGGACAACATTGGTTGTTGGGCATTGTACCCATTCTTTCGGTGTGCCCATTCTTTCGGTACCCATTTCGGGTGTCCAAATAAACCATGTGTTAAACATGTTTGAGAACATTGAAACACATGTTTTAAACCTGTTCAGAACATTGTCTCCTACATCTTGAGCACATTTTGAATTCAATGATAGGACTGTTAGGGTGCCCATTGTCGTGGCATCCACGACCACAGGGGTATTCTGCCCACCCCTGCGAATTCTTAAGAAAACCACAGGTTCCCCAACATGCTCAGACAGTGCTAGCAATCGGGCTGCGCGTGCGCATGTCGAAAGCGTCCGAACGTCCTTGCGCGCGCGCTGGGGCGGCACGACCCGTGCCAAACAGTACCATGCGGGGCACCCTCGCGCGTCTGCCCCGAGTCGAGGGCGAGGATCGAAGAGCCCACAAAAAAAAGAGGGAAACAAACGACAAAATAAGTAAATACATGAAAATAAAGATAAAAAACATAGGTACAGACCTCCGAGTGTCCCGCACGGATCTCTCGGGTCTGCGCTGGGCGCCCCCTGGCGCGGTCTGCTGCGCTCCATGGGCGGGGGGCCGGCGCAGGCCCGGGAGAGATGCGCGCGGAGCTCCGCAACTCTCCGACCACAGGTTTTCGTGGACGGCGCCCCGAATAGCCTCACGTCGGACGTGTCCCTCGAGAGGAGGAGCGTTCAAAAACAGCAAACAAGAATAGCAAACATATTTTTCTGGGGGTGTTTTTTTGGTGTCAATGTTTGGTTCTGTTTGTTTGAGCTGTTTCCTCTTTCGTGCAACATCCGCCTGTAGGGGGACACGCTCGACCTAGGACTAGTTAGCCCTTCCGCCGGTGCGGGTCGCCTCCGCCTCGCCGCCGACGGAGAAAGTGCTTCTGTGGCCGGTGAGATCCGCGCCTCCCGAGAATGCCAGGAGACTCTTCATGGGGGGGGATCCCATGGGGGGATAGGATCCCACGGGGGGTATCCCATAGGATCCCCGGGGGATCCGATGGGGGCCAGGAGGGGATCCCATGGGGGGGATCCCCTCCTGCCCCCCCATGGGATCCCCCCCCATGGAGAGTCTCCCGAGAATGTGGGCAGCGCCTCGCCACCCCGACCGGTCGCCGACTCCTCCTGGAGATCGAGGGTCGAGGACGGGGGGAGTCGATGGGGGGTCGAGGATCGAAGGAGGGGGGATCGAGGGTCGAAGGAGGGAAATCGAGGATCGGAGGAGGGGAAATCGAGGGTCGAAGGAGGGAAATCGAGGGTCGAAGGAGGGCGGATCGAGGGTCGAAGGAGGGGAATCGAGGATCGAAGAAGGGCGGATCGAGGGTCGAGGGAGGGGAATCGAGGATCGGAGGAGGGGAAAGCGAGGGTCGAAGGAGGGAAATCGAGGGTCGAAGGAGGGGAAATCGAGGGTCGAAGGAGGGCGGATCGAGGGTCGAGGAGGGAAATCGAGGGTCGAAGGAGGGCGGATCGAGGGGCGAGGAGGGGAATCGAGGATCGAAGAAGAGGGGATCGAGGGTCGAGGGAGGGAAATCGAGGATCGAAGCAGGGGGGATCGAGGGTCGAGGGAAGGGGCATCGAGGGTCGCGGGCCCCGGGAGGCCCAGAGGGATCTGGGGGGGGTCCAGGGAGGCCCGTTGCCTGGAGGATGCGGCGACCCCCCCCCCCCGTGCTAGTGTTAGGTCGGGCCTGTCCCCCGACAGGTCAGGAGCGGAAAAAGGACGTACATGTACATGAATCCACGCTGGTTTCGAGAGTTCACATTGCGCAAATGTTCGTATAACGCGGCCGGTCTCACGGATCGAGGGGCCGTGTTCATGTACATAGCTGGGCGCGTACGTCTTTTGTGGGCTCCCTAACAGGGGGGTTTCGGGCGAACAATTAAACATACCCCAACAGCATCCCAACAATGCCCGACAGTAGTCAAGAAATCGTCCCCAGACTATCTTTTGACAATTGTTTGAATATTCCCCCTGCAGAGGGACAGGCCCTAACTAACGCTAGTGGTGACCCCCCTGTGGCACTGCCCAGCAGATGGTCGGGCAGTGGTGGTACATCTCTCGTGGGTTCGTAGAGAAGGGGGGGAGGGGCTATCCCAAAGCGGGGCTGGTCTAGGCCTCTTAGATGGGGTCCGAGTAGATGGGGTCGGAGGATCGCGGCGCATCGCCGAATGAATCGCCGATGCGGCTCGATGTGGGGCCTGATTTGCTTCACGTCGACGTCGCCGATGCATCGCGACGCCGGTGCATCCCCGACGCATCGCCGATGCAACCCCGATGTATCGGAGATGCGGCGCGATCCTCTGACCCCATCCACACCGACCCCACCCAGGAGGCCTCTAGCTGGGGGGCGAGCCCAGCTGGATGCTCACGTTTCCTTCGCGCTGCTCCTACCAACCCCACCTCTGTTCCGTACCCCACCTGTACGTCTCCCCGAGTCTCGACGCTGCGCCCACATACTCTTCCAGCTTGGCATCGCTCGGGCGTGTGCTCTTTTTTTCCTCGGCGGGGACCTCTTGGGCGCAGTGTAGATCATTTTGTACAAAGGAAGCGCACGAAACTGAGCAATACACGGGAAATGGACGTCCGAGCGATGGCTCCGGGGGGGTCGTAGGAAGGGAAAACAGAGGAGGAGGAACACTCAGGCAAGTAGGACAGAAGAGCTGCATCAGCAGCGGCTCAGCTCCAGGCGCGTTTTTTCTCTTGAGTTTACCGCCTCGGGGGGCGTCGAGAGCCCTCGGGGGGATGTCCCAAGGTGGGGGGCTAGGGAACGAGCCCAGCTGGATATTCACGTTTCCTTCTTCCAGAGACCGTTCAGAGCGACTTTCCTCCGAACCCCACCTCTGCCCCTGCCACACTTTTACGTCCCCCCCTTGGCACTGCCTGGCACATGGTCGGGCAGTGGTGGTACATCTCGGCGCTGCTCTGGTACACTTTTCCAGCGTGGACGTGTGCATTGCATTTTTTCTGGAGCATCTTGGATCATTTTCCAAAGTGAACCCGCGACATCGGAAAATACACGGGGAATGGACGTCCGAGAGATGGCAAGCCAGGGTCAAGTTTCTCGTAGGTTGCGCCTGGGCGAGGCTGTGGCCGAGTAGCGCGCTGCCCGTTGATGGCTCGCGAGGACTCGGCTTCACACCTCCGCGTCACTGATGTGCTTCACTCCTTTGTTCTTCCTGCGTTTGCCAGTCCTGCTGTCAATCATGATTCTTTCTCCGTCTCCTCCGCCCCCACCCGCTGCTGAGCCAGTGCCCCATCCCTTGTTATCCCCTTCCTCTTTCTCGCGCCTCTCGACCTCGCAGTGCAGACACAATGCGCAGTCGAATGCAGGCGACGAGTAAGCTGTAGGCAGACACAAAGGCACCGTCAGAGAGACAGAGGCACGGATAGAGAGACGGACGGGAAGCCTTGCTACCCGATCTACAACTGCCCAGATGTTTATATTGGGGGGCAGACGCGGTGAGAAGCAACACGAATGACGAGCTGGAGGAGGAGAAGGATGAGGATGCAAAGGTTTGTGGTGCAAACGTGTCTCGGGGGTGTTCGAAGCAGTCATCCGAATTGCCAGCCGGCGGAGAAAGAGAGAGGGAGAGAGAGAGCGAGGGAGAGAGCTGACAGGCAACCCGTTTCATCGTTCATCGCGACAAGGGTACGGATGTCTTCGAGTCACCAGAGTCGTGGGCCGTTCTCCGCCACTTGAAGAAGGGGGACGTTGTCACCGGCGTCGGCGATCCGAAGTGGGCCACGGACTTAGCCTGACAACGCCGCGGCACGTTCTCGAATGTGTCTGTTTGGGCTATGTGCGCCGCGAGGGATATTTCCGATCTATGTGAAGTTTGCAGACAAGTTGCGCAATGATCTTTCGGTGCTCCACGCGAATTGCTTGGATCAGCGCTGGACCTCCCCTGGTGGCGCCTCCGGCTCCGCCCCTGTCGCGTGGAGCGCGCCAGGGGAGAGGGTATATCGCCAAGTTGAAAGGTCTGGGCAGAGCTCCGAAAGGAATGTGTCCCCAAGCAGTCTGTCTGTGACAGTGCTGTAGATGTGATACACTAGATTATGTAATGTTCTTTTCTATTAGATTGTTTAGTGTGCTTTATATTTATTTCCAGTATTTCATTAGATTGTATTCACGATCTGACGCCCGGTGGCCATCGTTGCCCCCCATCATCGTCGCCCCCCATCGTAATTTTGTGAAGTTGTTGACGGTCTTCTGCCGCAAGGTTGTCGTTTGGGTGGGGGGCGTGCGAGTGGTACTCGTAGGCAGGCTGCATTTTCCGACACCAGCGCGACGCAGTCAAACCAGTAGCGCGAGCATTCGTGTCCACCCCGCATTCAGAAAAAGTATCAGGGGAGAGGCAGGTCCAGAAGAAAGAAACCGGACGACATTCAACTGATTGCAAGGCTGTCCTTGACCAGCGGTCAACGATTTCATAGAACGACTGGAATGGCCAGGAGGTATGACATGCCCTTGTTGCTGCCCAGGTCGATGGCTACTTGTTGCAGCCGATCGCTCCCAATGGTTTGGTAGAGACGGAGTTCTTGACAAAGGTGGATGGACCTCTTCAGTTAGCATGCTTCTCCAGCACTTCTGCACCATGGAATTTGCCGTCTGGCAACCTCACGTTAGGAAACCTTTCTGCGTTGGAGGTTTGAAGGGGTGGGTCAATAAAGACACGTCCCTCCTTTCCTGTCCTCGTCTTCCGCTGTCGTCTTCCGCTTCATTTCTGAGATTGCGGCTTATGTCATGAGCGTGGTCGTCGATATCTTGTTGTTTGCATTTCATTTGTTGTCCCCCGATATGTTGTCGTTGGCGGTGGTCTGCATGTCTGCTCTGATCTACGGGGGCAAGCCAAGAATCCTCAGTCCCTCGTCCGCAGCTGTTCCTTCAGCGGCAGGGCTCGAGTCATAAAAGAAGGGGACCTTGAAGGTGCTGAGGAATGTGGAGGAGAGCCTGATCCTAGAATGGCATCTTAAGCATGTTGCGTTGCACCGTTGGTAGTTCAGTGGCTCCAGCGACACGGCTCCAGTTTACATACACAAGCACGCCCCCCCATTGATCGAGAGAGGGCGCCCGCGGAGGCGGCGGGGAAGCAGCTGCTGCGCCGGAAACGGGGCAATGAGGACACCGAGGAGGAGGAGCCTCCCAGCCACGAGCACCTGCAGGACGCGCCATCGTCGTTCGCAGGGCCTGCTTCGATCTGATCGGTCCGAGTCGGCGTCGATGTCGGCCAGCCCCGTCCGCTTCGATACCGAGGTTCTTGCGGCCCCGTGCGGCGCCGCTGCTGCTGCGGCAGCCGCACCGTGGTGGCATCCTGAGGGGGCCACGTGCGAACCCTACCCCTACCCCCCACGATTTCTGAGTGGGAGGGTGGGGTTCACTTCGTTCGGGAGCTCCCGAGCAAAGTGAACCCCACCCTCCCCTTCAGAAATCGTGGGGGGCAGGGGTACAGTCGCCGCCCTGAAGAAGGAACCCTTTTCGTTGGGGAGGGGCTCCGCGTTCCTCAGGCTTCCCTTAGGTTTCCGACCGGAAATCGAAGGTCAAATGATGGAAAAAAGGGGCCTCGTTCCTTATTTAGGGTTTCTTAGGTCAACGCCCCGACTGTAGGGCTCTCAGGTGGGGGGAGGAAGCAGGGGGGGAAGAGAGGAGGAGGAGGGAGAAGG